ATAATTCTCGAAAAAAAAAAACATTTAATGCAACTTTAATGTAATCTGTTTCTTCTGGACAAAAAAAAGTTTAATTTGTAAATTATTGATATTGTTCCCCCGATTTAATGAGCAAGACTGCGGGGGAAAGAAGAAAATAACTTACAGGGAATCATGGTCGCCCCCTTGCTCATCTTTTTGTCCGCCTTTGCATTCTACAATATTTCCATCATCGGAATCTCTACCAGCAACTGTATATGATGACCCACATAATTCAAAATAAACATGAAAAAGGTTGATTCTCAGAAAACAAAACCATAGGACACACACAAGCATACTGGACAAAAATCCTCCTTGAATTTTATAGATTTCTTCGCGTGTGATACTGAGTATATATACATAGTTTTGACATTATATTTCAGCGTGAAATGTATAATAATAAGAGTGCACCCCGTATGTGTGTAACTAAAGTAGCAAACTGCCTTTGAAAATTCAATCTTTCTTTTCAAATGATTCGTTTACCAAAAAGGGCAAAGAAAAATTAAATGGGAAAAGCTTACCTGTTGGAGCAGAAGATGCAAATGAAGCTTGAGAATGGCCAGGCAACTCATCTGGATTAGTGTCTGTATTTTTTCCCTGTCAAAATTACAATCACAACGCAGCTTCCTCGTACGTGTCATTGCAAGCTATTCATCGTATTCATCGATAATATAACAAATAATAATTTTTATAAAATTACCACGTTATTGTTTCATTTCGAAAAAGCTAGCTAGTTTAATGGAAAACATGAGCAGCAGAGATTCAATAATGCGTTACATATATACATATATATAATAAAACCTTGTTATCTATGTAAACATATAATAAAACCCATTTGAAACAAATGATTTCATTTACATCTCAACTTCAACTAATGCGTGAAAATAATTACTATAGATTACCACCAGGCCATATGGTTAGATCAATGAGAATATATATATATATACTCGTCCAGTCCTAAATATAAGATTCTTATACTTAGGACAGGAGGAGTATGATGAATTAAGGTCCGGTACGAGGACCATAGCTTATAGAAAAGCAACGTAGAGATATGGCAAGCAGACTGTGGGCTCACCTGATGAAGAGGGAAATGGAGAAGTTGAGAAACAGGACGAGGCATGGTTTGTGGAGACAAGAGTGGCAGAAGAAGAACAAGAAGAAGAATTTATAAGAGAAGTAAGTGCATGAATGTTTTGCACTTTCCATCAAACCCGGAGGTTGGCATGTCTTTAAGCCATATCACTAAGCCATTGCTTTTGATTTGCTCCATCACCACCCTTCTCTCTACTCTCTCTCTCTCTCCACACACACTGTACCCAGAAGGCTTATAGCTAGCTAGCTTGTAGCACCCACGTAACTCATCTCAGCAATATATCACTCAGCCTCTTATATTTAATTTTAGTTGGCATTTTGCTGTTGTTACAAAACATCGTTTTCTTAACGTATGTTCAAATATTCTGAGATTTCTATAGATGGAGAGAGTGATAATCAAGTATTCCCATCATCATCGGATTACGTTAATTCCCACGAGTACATATGGCTCCATATGCCTGTTTCGGCAACTTTGCCCTTTTGTTTTGCATATAACACGATACTGATATATGTGCATGTATCTTACGTAGTGAATATGTATGTCATGCAATTAATTAAGAGTGTCGGCACACTAATTAGAGATTTATGATATCTTCTTTTGTACTTAACTGTTAAAATTAAGGAAGCAATTAATTCATCCGATCTCTGTACTTGTTTCGTCTTTAATCATTCTCTCATCTGTTACGTTGTCGGATAATAATAATCAGACCCGTTAGCTAAGATGCCGTTTTCAAAGAATATGTATTTTGAAATATGCGCGTCTCAAGATTTTAAAATGGCTTACAGGTTTATCTTATTTTGATATCTCAACTACTTACACACTATTAAGTGAAGATGTCAACTTATTTATATTTGAAAGTTAATCCGAACTCCTCTAATCCTTAATATAATACTTTAATTGATTAATTTGAAGAGATTAAATAAATTAGTTGTTATGAGCTCTACATTAGGAAATCTCACAAGTGTTGTAGAGTTTATAAATTCAAAGAACTATCCCTTCTAATAGGCTAGTTTTTTGGAATTGAACTCTCCCCTTAGACTTAAGCTCATTACTTTGGTGCTCTCATTGAGAGTCCTCTAACGAGAGAAGGCCACTTGCATAGGGTTTTGACCAATAAGAAGACCAAGTAAAGTGCTGTAAAGTGAAGCCGTTGGAGAAGTCAACATTAATTACGTTAATTATTTGTAATAAATAGGTGTTATCTTTTTTAAAATATCCTTACTAATTATATGTATTAGTTAGAACTACTATTTAAATTTTTAATATGTACAATTAATATAATGATTACTTTAAAAAAATAAATAAATATAAAAAATAAAATAAAATTGAGATTTTATACTCCTCCGGTCCTTATTATAAGACCCCATTTGACTTTTTATTTGGTCCTAATTATAAGACCCCAATCCATTTTGTCTCTTATATTTATGCATTTTTTTCTAAGATAATCCTTCTAATAATGATAGTTTTAGCCAATATACTTAATTAGCAAGGATATTTTAGGAATGACAACACTTATTTATTATAAATAACCAACTTAACTTACTTCCTTAATCTCCTCAAATAAGTCAATTGGGTCTTATAATTAGGACCGGAGGAGTATTTAGGATTAATCTAAAAGTTAAACTATTTCTTAACAGGTAATATGTCTGTCTATTTTTGTGTGTGCGTGTGTGTAAATAGAAAGAGGGAAAAAACACAAGTAGGCTGTAATAGCCAAGTCTCGAATCATTGCAGGGTCGAAGATGCCGATGTTTCTCTGTTCTTTCTTTCTTTTCCTTGTCTAATTCACTGCATAATCTGTTTGAAAACGAAAAACCAACCCATGGAACTCTGACAGCAAAAATGTCTTTTCACGCAGCCCACAATTTTAGTTAATCAACAGATCTTATCCTCTCCGACATAGAAATTAAGACGGTGTTTACGTTAAATAATCTCTTAGTTTGTTGTTAATGGTCATCGTTCTCTTTTCTCAATTGTTACTGTCAAACTCAGAAATCGCTGTCACAAGTCCATTTTTAGTTGTCACAGTAATGATTAGGCACTATCTACCGCTAATCTTAACTATTTTGCCTTAAACTGTTACAACACAACAGCACGTTCATCTTATTACTTCCTTTGATTACTTCTTTCTGTTTCTTGGAAAGACACGACAATTTGTACACCTTCGGTTTTTAATATAATATCTATTTAATAAATTTGATTAGATTAAAGAAGTTAGGTAAGTTAGTTAATTATAAAAAATATGATATGTTTTTTCTAAAATGCCATAATCAATTTTCATAATACCTTATCTCCCTCTTCTACTTGATTATGGTTGAAAGAGTATCCATGGAGGTAATTTAGAGAAAATTGATAAATACGCCTCCAGTCCTTAGTATAAGACCCATTTAACTAATTTGATTAGATTAAGGAAGTTAGGTAAGTTAGTTAATTGTAAGAAAATTGACACATTTTTCCTAAAACACCATAATCATCTTTCTTAATACCCCCTCTCCTTTTTACTTAATTATGGTTGAGGGAGTATCTATAGGGGTAATTTAGAGAAAATTGATAAATATGAGAAATGGGTCTTATATTTAGGACCAAAACCAACTCAAGAATTGGGTCCTATATTAAGGACCGGAGGAGTATGAAAAATGGGTTTCATATTTAGAACCAAAACCAACTTAACAATTGAGTCATATATTAAAGACCGAAAGAATATTACTCCTCCGGTCCTTAATATAGGACCCAATTAGAAGGTTGATCTTGGTCCTGAATATAGGATCCCTTTCTCATATTTTTTCATTCTTTCCTAAATTACCCCTATTAGATAATTAAATACCACAATAATACTCATTATTCATTAATAATCACCTATATATTTTATAAAGTGAATGAATACTTATTACTTATTGATTTCACACATACATCAATTCTACCATTTTATATTTTTAATAAAATAATTTAAACATTTTAAAAAAATATTTTTATACAAATACCCATTCAAGGTAATTGGATTTTTTTACCTCCGAGGAATAGCATAATAATAATCATACTGATGAGTGAGACCGACAACTCGGACGGTGCGTGAGCTAGGAGAACTTGGACGACGTTGGTACCGGAGGAGGCGAGTTAACCAGACTTGATTTTTTTTCAAATGTCAGTTTCTTTTTAGAGGTGTAAAGCGAGGGTATTTTGGAATATCTATATTTATTACCTAACTTAACTACCATCCTTAATTTAATCAAAATAGTCAAAAGGGTCTTATATTAAGGACCGGAGGAGTATTTTAAATATCCTTTTGATTATTTGCCAGTAAAGTTCATCTGCTTAACTCCTCGCCGTCAGAGCCATATGCAAATTATTCTCGCTCTCTTTCCTTTCTTTTTTTTGTTTTTTTAGAATTTTTCTCTATTTTCTATTTTATTTTGAAATATATTTAAAGTAGTTCTTTTTTTGGCCAAAAAATTAATTCATGTTGAAAAATGATTGTTTACATATAGTCTTTATATTCATTTATTTTTTTCCTCATCAATTAGTAAGTCTCCAAATTGCTAAATTTGAAAAATCACGTTTACGTATTAGATATATCATTAATGCTCATTATATTAATTTAACTATTAAGTTTTTACCTTTTGCAGGAAGTAAGTCAAAGCTACCGCATTTATCAGTTTCAGTCAACTTTTATAATAAAATTAGCTGACTAAACTCAGATTTAAGGTATTTTATTCAACTACATAGATTTTTCTTTTTGGAGAATTATAATAAAACACTAAATGCCTAAATTTTATTTGTGAAAACAGCTTCGCAAAATTTCCAGGATAACGTTTACTATTAATTACTAATATGTCTTTTTCTTAACATCGCTCCCCACTTGCCGGTCCAGAAAAGAGGGTCCCTACTTACGAACCCCGCGAAAAATCGGTATACATTCGTCAGAAATGAACAACATAATTTACCTTAAACCATTACAGTCTAGTTGCATTTAAATTACGAAATATCATATATTTAGTGATTAGTACTTTTATTTGTGTTTGGGTGCTCTTCCATTGAGAAATTAATGCAAGGCCTTCCCACGGCCTTCATGGCTGCTTCGCCTACAAGCAACATCGGGAGGAGAGGCTTTATGCCGAGTTAAACTAAATAGTTGGAATCAACCAATAAAGAACATAAGTGAAACCCAAACCCTACCATGTGGAATTGAAACAAAGTGGAAGAAACTAACCGTCATCAAAGCCACCTGCAAACGTGTCTTCCTGCAAGAGCTACAGTTGTACCCGGCAAACAAAGTAATTATGATAATTTTAAACTGATTTTATCAGTAACATGCTCCATTCTCCACTAATATGTTTCTTCACAGGGTGAGAGCTCAGCTAACTTAAGAATCCCATCGTCATCCTCCCATAACTAAACTACACTAAGAAATAAAGGCGTTGAAGAATGTCATAATCAAAACTGACTCATCCTCTTGCGACAGCAAAATACACGAGACTCGCAATTACTCATCAACACAACAGGGAGGGAATTTATGAGTCATGGAGCTCTACCCATCATTTAGCCAAGTCTTACTAACTTAAATCTCTTGTAAATCAGGATTGTCTAGTCAGTTCAACACTGAGATCATACGGCTTACTCAGTTACTCGTCTGTTCTCTGCCTCTTTGAGGCTGGAGCACTCTCCTCACCGGCTTGTTGCCTAGGATTCTCAGAAGCTTGATTTTCAGGGCCATCATTCTTCATACCCACTTCCAGAGACCTTTCCTCAACTGCAGTACTGTTATTGGCTTGATCACGTCCCGACTTGCAATCACCCTCCACTTGGGAGGCTTCCACTTCACCTTTGGCAGCACAATCTTTGATAGCGTCTGAAGACACTCCCGATGGCTTCTCTGTCGCAGATGCCGGTGATGCCTTCTTGTCAGTGCCAGATTTGCATTGCTTCTCAAACATCATCTGAAGGTACCTTCCTTGTTCTTCTATTCGCAGTTGTAGGTTTCGTTGAATCTGACACAGAAAAAGACAGTGGGGAATATCTTCATCAGACCATTAGGAAAAAAATACACGACCACCTTAGGAAATGGAAGGGCAAGGTCTCAGACAATACGAGAAATTGAGATCTCAATCCCTAAATATTAATGCATGTTTAAATGGAGAAAAAATAAAGGGGAAGAAGAAACCCCACACCTATCTTGTGTGGGCATAACTATATGCTAGACATACATAATTACAGAAATTAATTTTTGTAATAGCAGAAACAAAAGTTCTCGTCAATTTAATCAAAACTACCTTCAGTTAATTTGACTAAGCATATAAACCTAGTCACTGCATGATCATACCACAAGATTTCAAGAAGAACAAGTTCATACCTCAAGTTGCTCATGCAGCCGCTTCTGAACCTCCATCTGCAGTCGCAGGGCTTCAGTGATCTCAATACCACTGTCAACAGTGCAGCAATGAAGTAAGAATAGCAATATCATTACCATATGTTAAGTCAGAACGTGTCGTGGTGTACACAGATATCAGTGAGAACCACCAAATCATTGGTCCTCTTATTATGGCCTTAATCCTGGAGCAATGAATCTATATCCTTGAAAAGTCTCTTCTTGAGTATACTCTTCCGGTCTTGAAGTAGAACATACTCAACATAGTTGATAGTAGGGCTCACACAATCTTTCTTTATTTCTTTTTAAATTTTTTTAGGCCTAGTATTCATTCCTGAACCTTCCCCTAACGTGGGTTACCTGTTTCTTTTCCGAAATGAAATGTTATAAATACCTATAATCACTGCCATAGCCCATAAGAAGAAACAGGCCTACATGCTAAAATTGCATAAAACTTACATGTCCCAATTCTGTGAGGTATTATTGGTATCGGTCTCCAGAATACAATTACTATTTTTGTTAAATAGAGCACATATCTAAGGCTTGTTCCATATAAGGGCGTTTTGGTTAAATCGGGTGCAATCATAACTCATATTTTGTTACAAGGGTAGCTATAATAGCACATTTTTTAGCATCTAAGAAGGGGAGTATAACTTTTCAAAACAGAGGAAAAAACCGCATATGTATAATTTGGACTCTCAAAAGACAGAGAGAACGGTAGTTCATCATTCCAATTTTTAATATATCTTTAGATTAATTTGGAGACCGGCAGCCAACTATCTTATGGCAAGATAAGTTAATACAAATATGACATTGTAATGCACATTCAATACAAGCCAATCACCATTCCCCAGAGTTAAAACCAGCTCATAAGTAACCTCACATAAGAGAAAATGCCGCATTGACAGAAATGCTACCCAACAAAAGTCATCTGAGGTAGTTTACTTACGTTTTCAGGTCTAGAGGAGGCATGTCCTCAATGGTCAGTCGTTTCTCTGAGGATCCTGCCAACAATATTTATTAGCTGACGAAATGTAGGAGCACGTCTCATATTTACGGGAATAGACTTAAAATAAACTAATTCAGACATGATATTCAAGGCACTTGATGAGGGGGGAAAAATTCAAGTCTCATATTTGTTAGATTGATATAGGATTACATCAATGCCAATGGATACCGGTACTTGCATTGGTACAGATACAACAATTCATATCTTATTTACCTTCAGATGGTTCCGGTCTATATCTAGCAGTCCTGTATTTCTGCATTTCATGGAGCAATATCTGTTTCGGTAAAAAAATATGGCAGCAAACAAATCTAGACATTAAGTGCAGGAACACAAACCTGCAAGTGACTTTTAACATGATATATCGTTAATCCTTCAACTTTCATGAGCTTCAGCACACCCTTAGGGGTAGCTCCTGTAAAATGAAAAGCAGTGAGAATAGAGAAGGACAAAATGAGGCAAAGCTTCTGTAAACAAGCAGAGGAATGCGCAGAAAGTGAGAAAGAAAATGAAAATACTTTCACTGCCACCAAGTTTGTTGACAGCCTCCACAAAAGCCTCATGAAGCTCTGGTGTCCATCGCATCCGTGGCTTGGCAGGAGCAGAACTTGCTGACGAAGCAGGGGGAGCACCAAAGCAATTGTCTCCAGATGAAGCTGGAAGTAGCTGCTGACCTTGGGACTGGTTTCCTGGAACATGTGAAACCTGGCCTCCCACCTAAGGAAACACAATAAGATCCAATAACATTTAGGTCAAGAAATTACTGATCAGATCACTTTGCAATCTAATATACAATACAGTCACAAGAACCTTAACCTTTGGCTCAAGATCTTGAATGTTGTCAGTAAGAAGGTCATTCCAATTAGAAGTCAAAGGATCGTCTTCACTTATAAGCTGATCAGCCCACTCTTGCCATTCATTTCGCTTACAGTACTCCTCAGATGCCATGACAGTGCAGGCACTGTTTTCTGCTGGACTATTCTCAATGGTAGTATTCACAGGAAAATCAAGAAAGTTGGACAGGGGTTCTATATTCCAGGAAGCACTGTTTTCTTTGAAATAATTATTTGGTGTTGAAGAAGGAAGCGGTCCACTATTGGAAGAATAAGAAAAGGGCAACGAAGCCATGTTGGATGACTGAGAAATGGAATGAGCATTTGTTGAGTGTTTTTCATGCGGCAAAAGAGATGAGTGATGAAGATCAGTCGAATATCCAGGAGAAGATGAAAATATGTGCCCAATTGCTCCGCTGGAATTTAAATGACTCGGCTGAGTTATAGACCCAGCCATAAGCTCTTTTGCCATGACAGCCGGCTGAGAATCAGAAAACTTGGCAAATGTCTCTCCTATCGGAGTCGGACGGACTGACAAGGATGATGGCAATGGTCCAGACAAACCGATGTTATTGAGCTGCTTGGTGCTTGATCTTTCAATGGAGGAAGTAGTGCGTGCTGCCATTATTTCCCTTAAATTCTAATCGGAAAAACAACTTATCAGTTACTAAGTCAACCAATAAAGCCTAGAATTTGCATTCTTCCTTCAACTGGTAATGCTGACCAGCAACACTACAACGCAAATTGCTTGTTCTAGAAGCCCAGACCAGACACTGTGTCATCAATCTTCAGTCTTTACAACTGTGAAAGAAAAAGTACTCGTGGTATTTAGTACAAAAAGCTAGCCACAAGAAAGTAGTCACTTCCAAGAATAAGGCCTCTGAAATTAGAAAACCTCATCATGAGAATAAGTCAAATCTAAAGAGCACAAATTTCATAACCAAGCCCGAACAGAAGTTTAAGCTTTCCAGCAATGCTTTCGATTTCAGTGTCATAATAAATCACTAATTCAATACACAAGGGTACTGACAAAATACAAATGATTTAGGAAGCCACTCGGTGCACACCGTAATTCTCATTTAACCAAAACACCCGAAGCCCCAACCATTAAACAAAAGTTTTGTTGACTCGCCTCCCTCTGCCATAAAAGTAAGGGATCATTCCAGCATATAAAAAGTGATGCCTAAATTGATGATCATATATTTGTTGCTTATTGATAGCCATCAGTGACAGTCACCGAGCAAGCCATGCATGCGGCATGCGAACTCGTAATGATGTGCATACAGAAAAATAAATGAAATTGAAAGCAGACTTCCAACCAACAAAAGAAATCAGCAACAAGCAAGCAAGACATAACAAGGAAGAGAAAGTAACCGAATGCGATATGGACGCAATTAAGAATAAAAAAGCAAAATAGAAGAAAAAAATCCTCAGGGGTATTTCTCAATAACAAACGAGGTATCGTCAAATTCACAGCAAGGAAAGTGGTGATGTCCTGCAAACTAAGAAAACGGTGTATCATATTCACACCCGAGAAGTACGCGGGAAGATAATAAAAATCGAACCAAAAAGCTGAGGAGTCGAATCGGAAGCAGGAATTTGGGAGGAGAACGATGGAAGCAGCTCCTAATAAAACAGGCGGGTGTTTGTAAATTCGGTCACCGGCAAGACGAGGCAAGGCCGGGAAGTGGACAACGGTGAAGAGTGCGCTTTACCCTGTTGGTCTTTTGCATTATGATTATGAGGAATAGTTTCAAAGACACGCTCTAGTGGGGCGCGTGGGTGATTCTGGCGGTTCGGTTACGTGGAGGGGGATTGGCGCAGCCACACCCCACGTATGAGCAGAGGGATGGGTGATTGGTGGAAGGAAAATAGATCCAACGGTGCAGAGGTGATGTTAGGCTTCCACCATGTGATTAAAGAAATGTTCTCTCGTTTCCCATAACGCTAATCCTTCTCATGCATCTTTCCCACGGGCAATTTTGACGAACGCAAACTCGGTCCATCAATTTTTCAAGTACCAGCATCCACAAATGACAAACAGAAGATTTCATACTCTATTAATATAAAATGGGATACGCAGACAACAAATCCGACCTTAGCTCAGTTGGTAGAGCGGAGGACTGTAGTGGGCAATCCCGGCAGATGATCCTTAGGTCGCTGGTTCGAATCCGGCAGGTCGGATGGGTTTTTTAACTTCCCCGCCTCTTTTTAATATTGGCGCGATTCTGGATTCTCCGTGTGAAAAATACAATTCAAGTTGGGAGGGGTCGAAAGAACAACTTCGGCAAGTTTCTTTAATACGAGAAAATTCTCTTGCGAGATTCGGAATATCTTCCATATTATATTGCACACAGCTTTGATTTTATAGGCTCGTCTATAAAAAAATGAATGTGAGTTTGGAGTGAATTTTCGTGAGAAGTTTTTTTAACTCGGGGATTTTCCCATGAAATTTGTGTAAGGTTGACAAAAATATAATTTGGAAAAATGTAATTTTTTTTAAATCTAGGTAAACCGCACATGCATTTCGCGACTCTTTGCTGGCGGGCTGGTATGTATTTTTTTTTTCAATTTTAATTTTGCGAAAATGTAAGGAAATGTGGCTTCATTTATTACTACCTCCGGTCCTTATTATAAGACCCCGTTTGATTTTTTGTTTGGTTCTAATTATAAGACCCCAATCTATTTTGTCTCTCATATTTATGCATTTTTTTCCAAGATAATCCTTTTAATAATGATAGTTTTAGCCAATATACTTAATTAGCAAGGATATTTTAGAAATGACAACACTTATTTATTACAAATAACTAACTTAGCTTACTTCCTTAATCTTTTCAAATAAGTCAACTGGGTCTTATAATTAGCACCGGAGGTAGTACTTGATAAACAATCTATTTTATAAGTTGACAGGGCAAAAAATAAAACAAGAAAACAAGAAAAGCGTGTCATTGATTCCTATGGTGTCATTGATGTCGCTTTCTCAACTTGTGTTTCTTTTTTTCTTTCTTTCTTTTTTTTTTTAAATTCAGGTTTGAAATTGAGAGGCTCTAAAGCATATGCACCGTGAATTACTCCCTCCGTTCCTTATTATAAGAGACATTTAGTGCTTATGGCATGTTCCTATATATAAGAGACACTTAAAAGTTGTCTCTACTTTTTTGTGTTGATTTCCTATTTTACCCATATTTATTGTCTCCAACTCACACTCTCTCTCCTTCCCATTTCTCTTTCTTTTAATAAATTACCATTGTTCTCTCTCATGTTCTCTCTCCTTATTAATGAGGGCATTTTTGAAAAAAAATTATACTTTTTACATATTAATTGTTCTTAACTAATTTTAACTGTTTTTTTTATTAACGTAATTCGGTTATTCGTCTCTTATAATAAGGAACGGAGGGAGTACCTTAGAAGACAGCAGTACAAGACACGAACACACACACACACGTCAAAAAAATAAGGGAAGGGCAGAGGGATATGTCGATTGGTAGCTTCAGGCTTCAAAGAAAGCAAGCAATGACGCCGACCCCAATATTTAAAAGGGAGAAGGAAAGGTTATTGGAGATTTGGCGGAAGGGAGGCATTTGTGAGAGAAAGAAAGGGGCAAAATTATAAATAGGAGAGTGGGGGTAGGGGAGTAGCGTAACAAAGGTAAATAACTGGGGAAAAACTTTAGGCTGTAATACCTGTTTCTTATATAATACACACACATATATATTTTAATGCCCCAGATGGGATGGATCCCTTTTCATTTCACCAATTGTTGCCTTACCCTTACCCTTACCCTTACCCTTAGTGGAAGAAACCAGAAATATTCTGATGCCCCTGTGGTGTTCCATATTTAACGGGACAATCTTAGTGTCTCCTCTCTGAATTGCAGCAAGCTGTCTTAGGGTGTGTTTGGATGGGCGTTTGTAAGTCCAAAAAGAACGTATTGGTGTCATAAGCCCGATTCGTAATTTTTGACTTGTTTGGTATGGTTTTTGGGTCATCCCACTTATAACTGAAAAGCAAGATTCAATCGTACAATTGGAGAAGTTGATACAAGTAGCTTATTTCTGATTTTCACTGTGCTTGTGGGAGTGTACTGTTAAAAAGTGCCAGATAATTACTAATTTCTCTCTCGTTCTCTTTCATTTTTTTAATCATATTTCATTATTTGTTAAATCTTGTCACAATAGAATGAATTTAAATCTAAAAATATTTGATCCATTGAAATTATGCTTCACTTTATAATTCTAATAATTTTTAATGATATCTCTAATGTTTTAAAATATATTTTAGCCATTAAATTTTACTTCTTCATATTAAAAGAATTTAAATTCATTATATTATGTAAATTTATATTTTTATCATGTTTCATTATTTATCAAAACTCATATCCATTTTGGTAATTTTATAAACTAAACTTACTTTTATTCAACCATAATTCAAACAATTTTTTACCGAATCTCGTTTTTACAAACTAACTTTTATAAAATCCAATCTAAACATAATTCATATCACCCAATTTAAATTTTATTCAATCTAATTTTTTTAAAAATCAAATTGAAGAAAAATTACTTTTCTAATTACTAATCCAAACGAACACTTAAACTCTATTAATTTATTCTTTCATGCTTATGTTGCTGCAAGCAAGCAGAGTTGAATGAAAAAAGATATAATATCTTGCACCTCTCAGTTTCACATGGCATCTGGTGGCTCCTCTTATTATGCGCAATTACTTGCTGCCACTCATAGCCATATATATATGTGCGTCGTACATATATTGCAATGTAAGTTAGTATGAAGACGCGATTCTGGCTTAATTACTTCCCAACCTACAGTCATCCCACCCACCCACATCTTTATATTTTCCTAATACAAGTTGCACCAGAGAATTAAGGTGATGGGGTTTAGATTTTAAAAAGCTAATTGAGTGGTTAATATATACTATTTCCGGTCCTAATTATAAGAGCTAGTTGACTAATGTGAAGAGATTAAAGAAATAAGTTAAATTAGTTATTTGTAATAAATAAGTGTTGTCTTTCCTAAAATATCCTTACTAATCAGATGTACTGTCCAAAACTATCATTATTAGGACTACTTTGGAAAAAAAAATATGAGAGAGAAAGTAAATTGGGATTTTTATATTTATGGCCAAAATAAAAGTCAAACGATGTCTTATATTAAGGGCCAGATGTAGTATATTATATACTACCACTGATTTTTAATATAAAAGCTAATTTAAATTTTAATTTGGTTATAAATATAAGACTCTAATATATTTTATCTATCTTATTTATCTATTTTTTAAAGTAATCTTTGTAGTAATTACACATATTAGATGTTTCATCAAATGGTATCTAGCTAATACATATAATTAGTAAGAATATAACAGAAAAAAAAAGCTTATTATTAGAAATAATTAATTTAACAAATTTTTTAATCTATTTAAATTAGTTAATTAGTTTTTATATCACAAAAAACAAAGATAATAATATATTAGCTGTACTCCATCAGAGCAGCTACCGTGATATCACCACGCAGAAGCAAATGTGGCAGACGCTAGTATATCTAGTCCTAATAATAAAAACAGAAACAAAAGGTGGGGATGTCATCAAAACCCAGAATCCATGAATGAATGAGGGCTTATTTGGATTGACTTATAAGTAGCTTTTCAAACGTGATTTACGGAATACGAGATAAGTATGTGAGGAGAGTTTTGTCTCGGTTTACGTGAACTTGCTTAAAAACCCGTTTTAAACGGAGCTCCAAACAAGCTCTGAATCTTAAAATAACAACGAAGGGATGGCG